CCAAGGGCCTCACAACAACAAAAAAAAGGCAGTTTGTGAGGAGGGTGAGAAAGGAAATTTCTGTTCAGCAGAACTGAGAGGAGGTGGATGCTCCTCATTTTCTAAACATGGAGAGCCAGGAGTGAGAGATCCAGGCAGGGGAAAGGAGAGCCCACCCAGCAGCAGCTGCCTCTCAGGGCTGGAAACCCGGGCTGATTCGGAGGAGAATTTAGATTGTGTTTGTACATTTACAGCCTCAATGCCAACACAAGTTCAAAGAGGCTGTAAATGCATCATCCCTCCCGCAGGGGAACATCACCAAACCACCACCATCTTCCAGATTTTTCACCTTTCCAACCATGGGATTTCCTGGGGGTGTTTTACCTCCAGGGAGTTGGTGGAGTCACGATCTTGGAGGTGTTTTCCAACCTTACTGATTGTGGGATGTGTCTGACCCAGTTTAAATGTTCAAGACTCAGGGATTCTCTGCTGCAGGGGATGGATTTTGGACATTTATTTCCAAATATCAGAGTCCTCAGGGCAAATCCTCAAAGCAACAGCTCTGGAGGAGACATTAAGGAACTAAAAGTCCTGAGAGTCAGGGTGAAAACTGGCCACACGTGCCCAGAGCAGCCACATGGTGTTCAAATAACTGACAAATATCTGTGGTTGGCATTAGAGAATAGTAATAACCACTAACAATAACCACTAGCGATAATCACTAACAATAATCACTAACAATAATCACTAACAATAACCACTAGCAATAATCACCTTGGTGCAGTTTATGGTATTTGTGTTCAGAGCTACACCTAAAGTACTGGTTTCTGTCCAAAATCAGCAGCTAAAAAAAGATGATACATTTATACACCAGCCTTGAACCTCCTTTGAAATTCTAGAAGGACAAAAAATTAAGAAGATAATCAGTCCTGTGATATACTTTAAATAACAGCTCTGCTTGACCCCACAGCCAGTCCTTCATAAATATGGAATATAGGCAAGAATCTAAGCACTGGGGCACAGAATCCCCGTCTAGGTTGGGCATTTCGATTTGCAATCAGTCTCTTTTTAAGCGACTCTCACGGAGCTGGTTTTTAATTTGCCGTTGCAGGGTCAGCAGAGGGAGCTGAAGGCATCAGGTACCAGCAGAGCTGCTGGACAGGTGAACCCCCCCCTTTCCTGGCACTGGAGACCAAACCCGGAGGGAAAGAAATCCATCAAAGGAGGAGAGGGAGTGGAGCTCCAGAAAGCTAAACCAGCTGCCACTGACACCATCTCTGCTTAGAATATGCTCTGCTTTTGCTGCCGTGGGGAAAAGGCATCACCAAGACAGCAGGCTTGGATTTGGGGTGGTTACGAGGCTATTCCTGGGGTGCTGGGAACTGCAGGAACGAGAGGAGGAGTTGAAGGTCCGGGACTTGCCGAGCCTGGTGTGTCCATGAGGATTTGGTTCTGCAGCACATCAACTCCACCCCGTGCTGCTCACCCTGGGGTGTAATCACCCATCAGCCTCTCTGCACTCACTGACACACCCTGGGATGGTTCAGCATCACCAAACTCCCCCCGGTCTGTCCCTCTTTCTGTTCAATCAGGATTTCCTGATATTCCAGCTGCTCGTGGTGCAAACAAGCCACGAGCTGCTGGCCCGGGATTCCAAGACCTTCTGGATTCTGTTGTACAGCCAGGACACAAATTTTTCGAGTCTGCCAAGGTATTTTCCAAGAACCTGAACGAAATGATTTGTCCTGACAGCCCACAGTGCCAGGTGGGTTTTTCATGGGATATTCGTTATCAGGGACAGCTTTAAGGGCTGTGGGTTGTTTGTTTGTTTGTTTGGGTTTTTTTTGCCTCAGTGGAAAATAAGACTGGAAATACCATCTGTGGTGAAAACAAGGATTTACCAAGGCCATCACTACTCAAAGGTAACTCCTGCTGGAAAAACTGCAGCGAGTCTTGCTCACATTCCTGGAAATCTACCTGAAATAGTCCCTGATCCAGGGACTTGGGATTACTTTTCACAGACAGCGATGGCAAATAATCCCATTTGGCAAAAAGTGGTACGTCTGGTGCCTTGGGATTCTTAAAGCATATCCCTGCAGTACCTTTGTTATATAGAATATATATTTATAGATAATATATATTATCATTAAACATATCTGATAACATTATGTAATATTATATATAATATAATTATATATTATAATAACAAAATTTATAATGTTATATATTAATAATACAGTATAGAAAAGTTAACAAATTACATTATAATATATAAATATTATTAGTTATAATATTCAATACAGCTATATATAATTAGAAATATATTTGAAACTATTATATCTTAAAAAGATATCAATTAATAGTACAACAAATGAAATTTAAAATAAATTTTAACATAATAGGATAAATTAATACAAATACACCGTGTCAGTGCAGAGAACAGTCACATTCTCTGCACAATTATCCTTCAGCAAAGCATCCCTATGAAAATGAGCCAATATCCCACATGGATTTACCACCCAGGGGGTTCTCCACCACGGATTTATCTGTGTGTTCTTACCTGGCTTTCACCATCAAGCAGGTGAGTCTGAAAGAATAAAACCTAGTAGACAATAAAGACATAAATAACCTCTAATAAATTACAAATAAATAAACAAACCATAACAGACTATAAATAAAGCCTACTAAGTTACAAATACCCTCCCAATAAATGATGAACCGATAAAACCTCATAAACCAAATAAACCCCAGTAACAAACCCCATTCCAAAAGCAGGAGTCGGGGGAAAGCCACGGAATCTGGGACCAAACACAGGAAATGATTCCCAGGTGTTGGTCCCCCTTCAGCTGATCTCACCCTCATCCCACAGGTCCACCACGGGTGAAGGGGTTTGCTTTCCCAAACACGGATTTGGGGAACCTGCTCGTGGTTTCCCCCCCAGAAGGGACAATCTCTGTATTGTCCAGCTGAAAGGACTCAGCTGTCAACAGTTATCAGCTCACCCCATGGGATGGGTTCAGAGCAGGGAATCCCAGAGTCACTGAGGCTGGAAAAGACCTCCCAGGCCACCCCTTGGGGATATGGAACGAGGAAGAAGAAAACCACTCCAAGGGCTGCATTTCTGGGAGGACTTTGGGAAGTGAACAAAATCCACTGAAACCAAGTTCTCTTATGCACCATAACAGAGAGCTGTGTGGAGGGAACTGCAACATTCCCAGTTCTTTCCCAAGTATTGCCTGGATTCACCTGAAACAAGTCAGAAGGAAGTTGCCTCAGGTGTCTGGGAGCTGAAGGTTCCAGTGTAAGTGTCAGGTGTTGGGTCAATAAGTGTTTCCATTTTACAGCTCTGCTTTTGCTTCTGGCACCACTAAAGGAGCTGATACAAGATTTTCTGGAGCTCATCTCGTTACCAAACTCAAGAGCATAAATACATGTTCGTTAGCATCTCTTTGGTTCTACATTCCCAAGAAAAATGTGGATTGCTTGGAAAATATTCCGCCCATTTCAGAAACTTTTGGTTGCTTTGCTTTGAAATCTGAGAGTGAAACCCTCCACCTTAAACAGAATTTGTCCAAATCATGCAACACTCCTAAGATTACATTATAATTATGATATTCTATGACATCATATTCTATTATATCCTATAATCTGATATTCTATGATATCCTTCACGTTGGGTTTTTCAGGAAGGACAACCGAGGAACTCCTGGGAACTTCCACGGCGCAGCTTCATCAGAAATACACGGAGCCAAGACAGGGATAAAGAAATAAATGTGCAAAATTTATTATGTTCTTCAATGAACACAAGGAAATTAAATTTATAAAGTCAAGCAACATATTCAAAATTAAAAACAGACATAGAAACACCAAGAGTTCCTTGTCAGAATAAACAAAAGTCCACATGATGCTCAAACCCAGTTTAATCCAAAGCGATTTCTTCATAAAAAAATAAGCTACTTAAAAAAATTACTCCAGCAGACAGGAGTATGTAAATTGAAATGTTATGGGAGCACATCCTGATCATTTGTACGCAAAAAACTCTGTTGGCAAGACAAGACAGAGCTGGAACAGCTTTGAGTGACAAACACCCTCATCACTCTTAAAAGGCATCTTCTAAACTCACCTTTGGTCCTTCTAATGACAGAAATAAGTTACATCCTTCTCAGGAGATTGTTTCTAAAAGTGAAATGCAATTAGAAGGCAGCATTTTGCCCTTTTGGTTACGGGGCAGTGGGGGGCACACACCAGTCCAGGCTGCCCCTCACTGACCATCTGCAGCCCCTGCAGGGAGCCCTGGGCCTGTGCTGGGCCTTTGCTCCCAAATGCAGGACAACTGGACCCCATCAGAGAGCTTCTACTGCGACATTTCCCTTTCTGGCCCAGTCAAGATCCCTTCTGCCTCTTCCCATCCCTATCCGTGCCCTGATGACCGTGTGCTCTGGGAGGATCCCAGAGGAATCACGGAATCCCAGACTGGCCTGGGGTGGGAGGGACATTAAAGCCCACCCAGTGCCACCTCCTGCCATGGGCTGGGACACCTTCCCTTGCACCAGCCCGAGTTGCTCAGAGCAACATCCAACCTGGCCTTGGGCACTTGCAGGAATGGGGAGTAGGATACTGAGCAAGGAAGTGGGAATTGCACGTGGAGCCTCAGGAGCCCCTCACTGACACCACTCTGGGTCTCTTGGCACTTTGTTCTGGACCTGCTGAACCAACAAGCGCTGCCCCTGAGGGGCTGGAAGAGAATGTCCAAGGAGTCCTTAGGATTGCACCCAGCATGGATTTCCTCCTGCCCGTGTAAACATTGGGAGAGCAGACGCCGGGACTGAGGGGGATGGCCCGGCACGCACCGGACCCAACACAACCCCCTGTGAGCCAGAGAGAGACAAACTCTGCTGTGGAACACGCAGGCTGAGCTGAGCTGACACAGAGAGTGTCCAGATCTGCTCCTCTCCATGCAGAAGGTCAGTGCTTGCTCACGTGGTGACACATCAGTGCAGTCCATCCAGTGACTCCCAACCAACAAAGTGCAGATCTGGAAGCCCAAAGACAACGATCCCAAAAGTCACAGCCCCTTCCTCAGGCTGTGACTCCCACAGTAAAGAAGTTCCACCAAGCTGCCGGCCCCAGAGATGAGTTTTACCTTCCTCAGAGTTATATTATCTCCTTTTCCAAAGTTTCTGCCGAGCCTTTGTTCCCTGAAGTGTTGTCCTCGTTGGAGTAATTTCCTGAGTCTCGGCTGCTCTGCTTGGAATGTTTGTAGTCTTTAAAATCGATCTGATTTCCTTCACATGTGACCATGGATTCAATTATAGAACAGTTCTCTATTGGTTCTTCTGGAGCTGACAGATAAGGGCTGGTGCAGAGCTGTCCCCCAAACCCCTGAGAAACACAAGGAGAAAAGGGAGGGATGAACATTCCAACACAATATTTATATAATGATTTAAATAATTTAAATAATTTAAATAATGATTCTGCCTCACACCACAGTTGCACAAATCTGGTTTATGGGATTCTTTACTGTGAGGGTGGTGATTAGGAAGGAATTGCTGGCTGTGAGGGTGGGCAGGCCCTGGCACAGGTTGGGCAGAGAAGCTGTGGCTGCCCCTGGATCCCTGGAAGTGTCCCAGGCCAGGTTGGACGGGGCTTGGAGCACCCTGGGCTGGTGGAAGGTGTCCCTGCCCATGGCAGGGGGGATAATTAGATGAGCTTTAAGGTCCCTCCCAACCCAAACCAGTCAGGCATTCTATGATCATGCTGAGGAGTATCATGAGGTTTTCTACCTCTAATAGCCATTTGTTACCCCATGTTCAACAACTCAAAATTAGGATGAAGTTTAGTTCACTGAATCTCAGGATCCCTGAGGCTGGAAAAGCCCTCCCAGCCCATGGATCCCCCTGTGCCCCATCCCCACCTTGTCCCCCAGCCCAGAGCACTGAGTGCCACGGCCAGGCCTGCCTTGGACACCTGCAGGGCTGGGCACTCCAAACCTCCCTGGGCAGCCCCTGCCAAGGCCTCACCACCCTTTCCAGCAACAAATT